GACCCCAGAATATGAAACCGTAATCTTACATTGGAAATTGAATAGTTGTCCAAAATAAACGATTTTTATATGTTTTTGTAGGAAATTTCATTACAAATTTTATTATAAATTTTATCGTATAATATACACTTAGTGAGTTAGGCCCCAAAACATTTTTCTTTTCTATATAACTTTATTCCGAATTTTTTCAGGAATTTAATCGATACACGAAAATTGAAAGGGCAATTATTAAAACATTATAGGAAAGTTTCATCAAAATCTTTAAAACCGTTTTCGCGCAAAGATGTTTTTTATTTATTGCGCACAATCTATTGCACATGGAGCACCGAATTTGTCTAAACCCTTCAAAATAAAAAAAGAGGTAACAAAATCGGTCCAGTAGTTCCCGAGAAAATCAGACAGATAGACCAATGGCTAAAAATGTCTTTTTCGGACTCAGGAGGCTCTGAAACGTATAGATTCGTCGAAAATCGTATATCGGAAATTTGACCCATCGCAATACTTTCCTTACCTACTATAGGTAGGAAATTAATAAACTTTTTAAATATTTAACATAAAAATAAAATTTTTAAAATTCTATATCGAGATGAAGATTGTATGTGTATTTCAACCTTTGCCCGTTTATAAAATATATAGTAAGGGAAAGAAAATATTGCAATTGTGAAATTGCACCATTGCAAGTCTCTACCAGTGTAGATTGCCTAATTGCGCGAGTCGTCTTTGCGATTATTTTGCGAACTTGATCTTTAGCTTTTGTGCAATATATACTGAGCTCTATATACTGTATAATTGTCTATATACACAACACACAGTATTTCACTATAAAAAAAAAAAAAAAAAAAAGAACGTTAGAAACAACCCAATGTTGCTTTAGCAACCAATTCACTTTAATGGAAAATACATAATGATCAATACATTTTAAATATTACCTTGAAGTCTGGACTATTATTCAAATATATTTATGATAAACAGAGAGCTCAACAAATACTAAAAGATGTAAAGTAGCCTTTACTGAAGAACAATTTATAAATTAAACATTAGTTTTTAAAAACTTCAAACAAATATATTACTCCAAATATAAATCTACAAGATAAAGATTTGTTTCTCTCAAATAGCAGTAAAGAATATTATTTTTAACCTTTGAAGTCAAAGAGATTGATTGTCTTATGTTTTAATGTAGTCCGTGGTACTAACCCATTTTTATCAAATTATTAACATCCGCCTCAACCTTCGTAAATAGCTTCATCTCATCAAAACCTACAAATATCTTATTTACGAAAATTTTCGATCTGAAGCTCGGCAAAATTTGTCTATTTAATTATGTACTAAAAACTCGTAAATACTCATTTGCTTTCTACTTGAATCGTAAGATAATTTGTGCACAAAGTCGAGAAAGAGGGTGTTTTCAAAAAATTGAGCCGTTTAGAGTGACATACACCTCCGAATTGTCAAAATAACGAGGTTATATATGCCAGACGGTCCTATACTTTTGTAGAACACCTTCTTTATCGATTTTGTGATCAAATTGTCTTACGATTCGAGTAGAAAGCAAGTGAGTATTTACGAGCTTTTAGTAGATAATTAAATAGACAAAATTTGTCGACCTTCGATATAATGTATCGATGAACATAATAAAAATAAATTTTGTTTTCTGATTGCTTCCACTTTATCGAAGATGCGCTAGATTAAAAACATTTTGTATTCAAGATCGAAAATTTCCACTCGCGTTATACGGTTCGGTCATCTAGAGATTTATTTTTCGGAGTTTATTTAACTAATAATTATAATTTGATCGGATCAGAAGGCAACAACTATCGGTTGGTACCATTAATATTTGTTTGAGATTTCATGTTATTATATTCCTGAGTGCACATTTACTAGTTGTATAGTTGTATTTTTTTTATAATACAGTTGTAAATATCAATGAATAAAAAAAAGAATATTTGTTTATTTATTTTATTTGTTTTATTTATATATATATATATATATATATATATATATATATATATATATATATATATATATATATATTTGTTTCTTGATTACGAAATTTGAGTGAAATCTAAGTGACGGACTTAACACCGACTCTCGTAAATTCTTGATCGTTGATGAATTTGTTGGTGATTTTGCGGGTTTGTACCTAGATGTTCCTGTTGATACAATCTGCATCAAATTCCATTCTCGGAAGAAATTTGGATAATAATTTAAAAGCAATGCCGTTGTTAAGAATACAATAGCTATGCAGTAAAAGCAGTAAATGTAAGTAAAGCAGTAAATACTGAGTATTGTTGCCCAAATGCGAGACCGAGACGAGTCTTGGTCTTGCAAACTCAGTCTTGTTGATGTTCTTGGTCTTACGCAAGAGTCTCGCAACAACCTTGCAGTTGCTTATTAGGTTATTACTGTAGAGATATTACCGTATTTTTTTTAGAGAGGAGAAACTCAACTAAGCCGGAATGAAAAATTAGAAGAGTTAAATGCAAAAGTATATTATTTATACCAATTATTTACATATAGTAACTAAGATTGTCAAGTATTAGTAACTATTTTGTCTTAATTTTTATTCAAAAAATCGATTTATATTTACCAGTCCTGGTCTTGGTCTTGCAACATTTAGCCGGCCTTGATCTTGGTCTTGCAAAGTGCAAGACCAAGACCGATTTTGGGCAACACTAATATTGAGAGGTTATATAACTTTTTGAGGTTAATGCGATTGATTAGATGTGTTTTTATCAGATTTTTTTTAAAAATAAAATTATTATTATCGTGAATTGTATGAGTATTTTCTTATAGACCTTAATTTATTTTCTTATAAATATTTGTATATATTTTTAAGAGTGTTATTAAAAAAAAAAAAAAATAACGAACATCTTGTCACTGATGCAACTCTAGGAAGAAGACGGTGATACACGCTCCAGTGTCCTAATTCTGACTCAATTCTGAACTTAACCTTGGTCGGAAAGACTCTCACCTTCTTCTGCATCGTATTTCATCCTGATGACCTATATCGTCATAGAGTCAACACTGTAAGAACAAATGGCATAGATCACAGAATTATTTTAATATGACTACGTCAACAGGGAAAATAGGAGGAACACGAACAACTTCCAATTAAAATGTTATCACATTCAACGATCGAGAGACATAACTCAATATTTGCAATGCAAAACATTAAACAACTTTGAAAAAAAGAATCTTCATGCGCGTCCTCACGACCCTGAAACTATTTATGGATGTCCCTCTTCTTGTAAACGTATAAGTGTAATTATGTTAGTTATAGCTAGATCTTAATAGCGATGATGTAAACATCACGAGTTCGAATTGCGCTCCTTACAATTTAGGCTGAATGCTTAGAGGGATTGATGGTAATAAAGATATGAATTTCAATACAAGACCGCATTGTGGAGCTAGATATATATTTGTATATTATATGAGGCAGTGTATACATATATATGTTGGCCTTTATAAACATTAAGAGATCAGATCCCCCAGTATTTGTTGATACCGACTTTTAATGCAGATCCGACTCTCGGGGAAATATGGTCAAGATTTCTGTTAATAATAAAATTATGAAAATTACTCCACAACTTGAGTGCAAAATGTGCAACACTAAGAAAAAGGAAACACTTCATCATATATTATTTAAATGCCCAATTTATAGTAGTTTAAGGGTAAGAATTTACCAGGTTGTGGAAAATCTTGAAGAGATAGAAATATTTAAGCCAACAAGTGCAAATGATATGAGAAAATTATATTTTTTTATCTCAATTATATCAAATTATATAGAATTGGTGGGGTAATCTTGAATATTGTCCTCCGCATATTATGGCAAAAATTCCATGTTGTACATTGGCATGTAATCTGGCCGGGTATTTTTCTTGTTAGTTCTCTAAGGTATAGGGGTAGTCTTTTGATTTCATTTTAAAACAAATTTTAATATTAATATTTTAAAAAATGTGTATTTATTTATGTTTATTGTTGGAAATTTTATTTATTATTTAATTAAAAATTATTTAATTTATGCTTAAGAGTGTCTGTTATGTAGTATAAAAAGGAATTCCTATTTACAAAAGAATAATAATGTTTGTAATTTTGTGATAGACTCCATTTGTATATGGTTCCTCACTCAAAACAAATAGAGAATGATTGATATAAACATTAAGAGCTGTGCAATTTAACTATAAAGTGGTAATTGCTCTACCTTTTGAATCAGTATTTCCCGATATCGGTCTTGGTCTCGCAGAGTGTCTAAGGCCGCCTAACTGTTGCAAGATCTTGAGTGCTAAAAAAAATCAATTTTTTAAATAAAAATTAAGGCAAAATTGTTACTAATACTTGACAATCTTAATTACTATATGTTAATAATTGGTATGACCAATATACTTTTGCGTTTAACTCCTATAATTTTTCATTCGGGCTTAGTTAGGTTTCTCCTATCTAAAAAAATTATAAGATTTAAAAGCAAAAGTATGTTGGTTATTCCAATTCTTTACATAAATTAACTAAAATTATCAAGTATTCGTAATTATTTAACTATATTTATATTAAAAAATTGATTTTTTTTACCACTCAAGGTCATGGTCTTGCAATTTGCACCAAGACCGATATTGGGCTATACTATTTAACATGGTACGCACGATGTGACAGAATTTTGTATTACTCAATAAATAAAAATATATATATTAGATCAAAATCCACGAAAATGTTCTAAATAATTTGTATATTATTCTCGAAATTTTCTCTAACTTTGAGCCAAATCGAGTATAGTTTTAGAAAGAAAAATAATTTGCGCATCCGTAACGCATTTGATGTCCATAACGAGTTTGGAAAATTTCAATTCTGAGAACCAAATATCCGTTTAACCTACCGTATGAATACAAATCATCCCTGTCTTCAGGAGTCGGAAGCAATAAATAAAATAAAAAGAATCAACTTTATCCCCCCCCCCTCCCTCCTCAATGTTACGTGCCTGTCAAGTTATTAGTCTCAGAAGTTCGATTTCAGTATTTACACGAACCAGTTAGCGGATATCTGGGCAACGACATCTTCGGAAGGACGTCTTGGGATTCTTGGTCGGTCATAGGTCGCAGGAACTTCATCGGTGTCTCAAATTCCTTGACTTTCGAAGAAACTGACTCACATTCGTGACCTTTCTCCACAACTTCTGTTAGTCACATATTAACGACCTCTTTTACAACGTTTCCTGTAAACCGGAGTTTCGTCAACTGCGGGAGTCCTTCATCAAGGCCGCGAACTTCCGGAATGAAGATCGTCCTTGCCCGGGGATAGATCTCGATCTAGGATCTCATTGCTCCAGGTGTCCGCTAATTGGAGTAATTAAGGAGGATTGCCTGTTATTATTTCTATACAAAGAGCCTCCCATCCTCTCAACAAAGGAAATCATTGTCTAATAATTTGCAGATATAATCAAAAGTTGGTTGTTTTATAAAAAAAAAAAAAAGTCGGTGAATGATCGTGTAAGGGATCTTCCATACATTAATATTTAGTTGTACTCTGTCGTATAAATCTATCTAATAAATAAATAAGTAAATATGTATAACTTTATGATTCAACTAATTTCATATTTAATTTGATAACCGTAACAATATGTAGATTTGATAAAATAAATAAAAATGTTTTATTTACTAGTATATTTAAAACACACATGCACAAAATTTATATAGCAAGTATTTAAGTGATTATTTCCAAAAAAAAAATCTTCCTTTTTTAAAAATAGTTTTAATTTAATTTTTAAATTTAATCCTTTCTGCTTCCTATCCTGAATGCTTTTTCTATTGTTGTCTAAATCATAATCCCCTAATCTCAAACCACTTTTGAATGTAGATCGGCAGGCCATTTAGATAGGCAAGTTTCTAAAATTAGTTCTAACTTCATCGAAGGATTCCATCAATTGATAGATTCCAATACCAACGAACTGCGATTTATGCTGAGATTAGAAACGTTTTGCTGGCTTCCAGCAGAAAATAATTACTTCTGGAACAAATTAAAAATATTTAAAAAATAAAGTCTGAATTTGTAATTTGAAAATAAAAGTAAATATAGATAGTACGTAAACTTGATAAAAATAAGTAAAGTAAATTGGTAATTAATGACATTGAGATTATAATAAGGTTACATGCGAGAGATCTAACGACTCCAAAAAGTCATTGTCCGTCCAACCGCTAAACCATTGTTGTTTCAATGAATGAATAGAGGGTCACGTTGATTATATTTATGGATTCATCGATGAGTTAAGGAACGATGTGATGGTTTTCCACTGCTCATTAACAAGCACAATGTTGAGTTTTTGAATTTGCACAGTGTTAGTCTTCCGTTGGAATCCAGCAGGTTTTTCATAAACAAACAGGCTGTTCCTAATTAACCACTCAATTAAATCGATTGGTGGATTCCATTGATGAAATTAGGTCTGAATTTAGGAACTTATCTATACAGAACATGTTACAGAGATAAAATATAACACTTATCGCTTAATACATTACACTACCATTCTACAATACGAAAATTCGTTGAATACGATGTCTACATATACGAAATGGTCTTCCATCACGTTCGGTAATATTTTCCTATTGACCAAAACACGGACATTCGAAAATTATTAAGCCATTAGATAGAATAGTGCCGAGGTAAAAGGAAGAAGACTTTTCGACGATTTGCAGAAGCGTGATGGCTCGAACCGCATCTTGTTTATTTTCGCAGCACTGCCTTCGAGATAATAGCTTTGAAGAAGAGTGAATTATTGGGGTCGTCTTGAAATATCTGCCATTAGTGGCTACGTGTTTGTTATTCTCTACAGCTATCATTTGCTGGGTTTCCTTGTATAGCCTCTTTTCATCTTTATTACAACAGATACAATAATTACAACTTAACATATTAATGATATTGTGTAGGTAATATATATATTGATGATATGGGTGTAGGTAATATAAATAAACGATTAAAAATATTCTACAGAAAGTCTTAATATATGACTTTCTGTTTACATCGGGCATTACTAATTGATTCATAATTATTCATTGTAATTATAAAATTGTCGTTAATTTAGCCACTTAAAGTCAATAAAACACTTTGAATATCAAAGATAACACTACATGAAACTCAAGTTGACAGAATGACTAACTCCATTTACCATCATCCCATCCAGATTCTCAAACTTTCACCAGAACCTTATCCATCATCCAAATCCTCTAGCTCAATCCCTATCCATCTCCCACCATCCCTACAATCCCCCTCGAAGGTTAAAACGGCAGTGGCCGTGAGATCTATTGTAAATATGCTTCTGGAGTCCTGGCAATGGCCAGCTTCTCCACTCAAGTCCTGAGCATCTGTGGCTATAGTGCCCTCCTTCAGCCTCCACTGGCTTTTAATACTAGTGATGCGGCTGGAAAAGTGGCACTGGGATCTCTGGAGTCCCGCTTTGCTTTCCACATATGGGGAGAAAAGCCTGGCTCGGAGATTCCTGGGCGAATGTATATATTGTATATAGGTATGAATGTGTTTAGAAGTTGTTATTTTATTTTGTTTGTTTATTTTTTTTTTTTTTTATTTTTTTTTTCCTATTGATTTACTTCTTTTTTTTTTATAAGTATTATTTATTTACTTCTTATATTTATAGTTACTTCTGTATTATTTGTATGAATGAGACTGTATGAATACTGTATGAATGAGAACTTCTAGCCTTGATACTTATAGCCCCCCAACAGTGGCTGATTGTATTATTATTCAATAAAAAAAAAATAATAATAAAAAAACTCCATTTACAACATTTTATAATTATTAATTTTAGTGATATTTCTATGGGAAAAATGTATAATTTATTCACAGTTCTATATTTCAACACTGCAATCACCTACTCTTGAAATAACTTACTCACTGTTTCTTATTATAAATTTTCCAACTAGAAATATCAGTAAAATTACATTACTCAAAAATATTGAAATTGGAGTTAGAGTCATCCTGTCAACTGAAAGGCTCATAGATTCATTAGATTATTTTAGGTTAAATATTTTGTACCTTATTTCTTACTGTTCTGTTGCGCTTATAACACTCAGTATCTGTCAACAGTGCTATAAAGAAGATTTACTCCAAAAAAGAATCTTTTCCTTATCAACGTAATCATATGATTGGACATAGGCGTAGACTTTCTATTCTGGTTGGGGGACGAGGGAGCAATAGACCCCAAAAAAAGTCTCGTGAGTCTTTATAATCATCTTTATATAATCTTCCTTCACTAGTCCAAAAAGGTGTTTTATTTTTAAATAGAAATTATAACTGTATAACTGGTATTTTTTTGTTTAATTTCAAGTGTAAAATAGTAAAAGGGGGCTCTAGAAATTCTAAACGTCCAACGGAGAAGTTTATAAATATAATAATTATGGCGGCATAAGCCAAAAAAAAGAAAAAAATCCTTAGCTTAACTCTATCTTAAACAATATAAGTTGATAGTTCTTAGTTAATAAGATTTAAATAATTGTATAAACCAATCCGTCCAGACTTCACTTTTAGGATACATCCTGTTTTCTCCAGTTTCTGAGTACTGCGCCTATATTTGCTTCTTGAGGACATGCTCACAACTGCTCGCTGAAGCATGCCCGGGAATATTTTCTACTTGTCACTGCCAGATAAGAGGATTAACATAATTTTTTTTAATGTTACAGAAAAATTAGGATACTTCAAGGACATATATGAATTATAAAAATAAAACGTATTTCACTTTTTGGTAGCAAATAATGAAAACGAAATTTTAAACGGTTATATATTTATTTATTTTTATAATTGGTAATTGGTTGGCTGTCGTGGATAATGAAGAGAAGAATAGTTGGGGTGGTCAGTCAAAAAGGAAGGCAAAAATAAATGATATTTATTTTTACATATGCCGACGTTTCGACCTGAAGTTCAGGCCTTCATCAGGGCTAAGAAAACAACGAGATAACAAGGTATGAGGAACATAAGTTGTGATGGTAAAAAAAATAAAATAAATAAATATAAAGTAAAATGAAATTGTTAGAATAATGACTAAGTACTAAGAGATAAATAATAATAACGGTTACAAAGTGTGGAATGATGAAGTAGGCGTAATCAAAAAGGGTGACATAAGTGTTACAATGGGAATCTTAGAATAAATTTACAATGGGAATCTTAGCCCTGATGAAGGCCTGAACTTCAGGTCGAAACGTCGGCATATGTAAAAATAAATATTATCATTTATTTTTGCCTTCCTTTTTGACTCACCACCCCAACTATTCTTCTCTTCATTTATCTATTTTGTTTTTAAATGGGATAAAAATATCATTGAAAAATATAATCAGATATTCAATGAATAATATAAAAAATAGACAGAATTACATATAGTCCGCGGTATAAATCCATTTTTATTAAATTATCAGCATCCGCCTGAAACTTCATTTGCTAACGTTATCATAAACTTTCCACTTGAATCGTAAGATAATTTGATCACAAAATTGAGAAAAAAAAGACTACAAAAACATTGGACTGTTTGGCATATCAACTATCGGTTTTTTTTTTTCACATGGGGGTGGAGATCACATCAAACTGTCAATTATTTTTGTAGGTCACATTTTTTTTTTTTTTTTTTTTGTGATCAAATTATCTTGCTATTCAAGTGGAAAGCAAGTACTAATTGAAGCCCCATATAAGATAATTTTCGTGAATAAAACAGTTGTATGTTACTGTTATAAATTAGTAACAAAATAATCAAGAGACTGAACATAAATATTAGGTTATTATTGGGAAATATCCAAACCACACAGCCTTATGTCTGCAGAAAAATCCATCAACGTTTCACCAATTCAGACATCAGGACTAAAAAAAAAGTGTTGATCGAACGTCACTCCGTGAAATCCAATCGCATACTGAAAGGAAGTTGAGACAAAATTATTATGCCATATCTAATTAAATTTTATTTGATTATCAAATTGCATCGATAGTGAAGGCTAAACCAGGTAAGTGGACATTGTCACATTTTCCAGGACAGAAAAGACATCTCTGTTCTTGGATCCATATGTCCGCTTCGAGAGCAATGACCTCGATCAGGTGGATGAAGTGGAAAGGAAAAAGAAAACCATATATGATAAATGTATCCCTTCCTTGAAAGAGAAGTTCCGTGAGACCTTCGGAGAGACATAGTTCACCATGTGAGGCCTCTGGATTGGATCTCGCGGAACGATCCCAAAAAGAACAAGGAGCTTCCTTGAGGAACTATGTGTTGATGTCCGGGATATTGACCGTGAATATTATTCTGGACTCCCTGGGGATCATTCACTATCACTTATATAGTAATTGACTGCGAAATTATGATGTCTTTTGTCATTTATCTATTTATTTATTCAATTTTATTATTTATTTTGGCTTTCTCTTATCTTTTTATTTATAGAATTGTGTTAATATATGCGTGTCAAAGTCCCAGGTTCGAATCTCGGCTCATGGCAGAAAAATTATTTATTCTGTTTCATTGGCCGTGGGGAAACCCTTGGGTAGGACGACACTCTTGTGGTACACCCAGCCTCTATGATGTGGATACCCTTAATTAAATAATTGATTGAGGAGGAAAACCTGGCGGTTGAGCGTGATTCTGGCCCGATACCCTACCTGCACAGTAATGGCAATAATGAACCCAGGACCCCTCATGTATTGTAGTGTGATTTAGTCTTGTATTTCTAACATTTACATACTTTTTTTTTAGTGAAATATATATTTTATAGTGGTAATCGTTTAATGTGGTATATTAGTGATATGACTAGTGTTATAGGAAAAAGAGGGATATGTTTTTATAATGATGGAATAATGTAATGTAGCTGTGTCCATATGGATTGATCAGTATGCTGTGAATAAAGCAACTCTATGTAATAGAGCAGCACTACTTTCAATACAGTATTTCTATCTCTTATTGATATCTATTTATTTTATTTCATAACATATTTATGATTTTTGATTAGGCATGTAATAATTTGAATTAGTCGTTTGTTTTCGTTATCAGCTGTTTGATTATAATCTTCTCTTGCTGTGTTGTCTTACCATCTTTTTTGTACGCGAGTGGATTTCATGGAGTGATGTTCGATTAGCAGCTCTTTTCTGTCCTGATAATGCCTGAATTGGCGAGACGTTTGCGAATACTTTGGCTACATTTTGGAGACGTAAGGCTGTGTGGTTAGAATTTTTTCCAATAATAACCTAACTTTGTAGGTTACGATAAGATAAAATCATTCGCGAAGTTTAAGAGGAATATTAGTAATTTGATAAAACAGTTCTCTACCGCGGTCTCTCATGATTTATATTTCTTATTTAAATTTCTATCTCTATATGTATTCATAGACTTATGTACTAACCAGGAATCAATTCATACCTCTTTGGTTTTAGAGATTTAAGCTATCGTTCTGTTTATTTATCGCTGTATTTTTTTTAAACTTCATTGTGGTTAATTATCTACTTCCCTGTGCTCACATCATTTTGCTATTTTCACCTCTTTTTCTAAATATATTGAGACCTCTATCATTGGCAATACTTATTTGTTTTCTCCTGGTTTTATTTTGAATTCTAAGAAATATTTTTATCAAAGAAAATTTGAGGATGAAGACACTCTAGGATTAATTCAGTCTATTGGTCCGGACTTAAAAACGTCATCATTGGTCATATATAAGTAGATAACATCCTGTTTTTCGAGTCACAATTCGACATGGTTTCAAAGTACAGCCAAAATGGTCAGCTTCGACCTTAGAAACAAGGACTTCATTTTGGTGATCTTATTTGAGAGGTCACTACTACACGAAACCGCCATCTGAGAACA